TTCATACACATTGCTCGTACTGGCCATGAAATACAATTTTTTAATCCGCCAGTACTATCACATTTGCAAGTATCACAACGACGCATATATCTTTCAAGTTTTCTTAATGGTATACCTTGCTTTCCATTCCATGATGTAATATGTCTATCAGTAGCGCTGGAAATTATAATGCCATTAAAATTTGCACAAAGTAAATCAATATCGGCTGAATGACGACCACGCAAAGTTATGACTTGAGCAGAATTAACACAAAAAGCAGAACTTCTGGTAGACAACGTATTTTTATTTTCATCATTATTTGAATTTTCAAATAATCTAGTAATTCGAATTTCTATATCTGCTGATGAAAAATTCGCCAGGATGGACATTGCGAATATTATACTAATAATAGGAAATATAATAACTTTAAGAAACCAAACAAATGTTTTTATATATATTCTTATTATTAATTTCCAATTTTTAACATCATTAAGTGAACGAGATAAATCATCTGATTCAATATCATATGATAATGTTAAATATCTGGTTGGTCTAATTTCTACAAATTGATTTTTTTTGTCCGGATTTATAACGCCCCAAAATTCATTAGCAGTTTTATCTATCGATGTTTCCCAGAAAGTGGTGTTTGTATATGTATTAGTAGGAGGAACTATGAAATCACTAATTAAACTATTCAATGAAGACTTAATATACGGCAAGTTCATATTGGCATGATGAATATTTGTTACAGCAATCAATAAAATAAGAACCTATGTGGAAGGGAGAAATTCAATTTTACATAAACATGATATAAAAAAAAAAAAAAAAAAAAAAAAAAAAAAAGATAAAACTTAATTTATTATACATACCACCAATAAAATACCAATTCTACGACCATAATTGGTTGTTTTTGAATGCTGTATAGATTTCTTATTAATATTATCATCTGGATTGCTAATGCGATTATTATATAAATTGGATATCTTTTTAAAATGAATAAGTAGGAAATTATTAATATCAATTGTATTAAACAAGTTAATTATAAAAAAAGATATTGTCACCTAATAAATGATAAATACCTCTAATGCCAATCTTTCAAGATCAATGGATAAAACCGCAATGAAAAATGACATTTGTAGCATAAAATCGATAATCATGGCAATCGAGGTGAAAATGCAAAATTCTTGAATTGAATTTATATTTGTCACTGAAAATATCATCAACACTAAGAACCAACTTATGAGTATTTTTGTCATAGTATATCCAACTTTTTCAAGACCTTAAAAAGGGTTTAATCGTAAGTTAATAATAAAATTATCAAAATAAGACTGATCAGTGACCAAAGAATATTTGAATATATATTATACTACCTTCTGCAATGCGTTTTTTTACATTCAATTGCGTGGTAATCGCTGGTACAGCATTTATTATAATAAACATATTCTCGATACTAACTAGAATAAAGACAAAAGGCAACAGTTTCCTGAATAAAATAATAAATTGTGTTATTATTCGTATATATAGATCTAATTATCAACATACGTACTCACGTACCAAGATACAGAGTCAAACGTTAATGTGATATCAAATAGAGAGAAGATGCTAAGTGATATAGTTAACGAAGCGAACACGTGAGCCACAGCTGAGAAAACAAGACCAAATTTGGACTTGATGGAATTAAGACGACCCATAGAGAGGATGTATATGGAAAAAATCAAGTACGCTAACATAAGAAGTGCCTGTTCAGC